AAAATTGGGTCCTATGGACCCTGATGGTAGGCTGATGGTTAAATCATATTCATAGATTTGGTCGTTTTGCGAAGATGTTCAAAATCTAACTCCCTGGAAAACTGCCCCCACAAAAGACTCTTCCTTTACCCACAGTTTCTGGACCAAACCCCATCAGAGAGAGAGCTCCATATGATGCTCACCCCTGGGCTCCACCAGCACCACCCGCGGAGCACAGGCAGCCCCTGGCCTGGAACACTTTCTCCTGGAGTTCGTCTCCACACACAGTGAGGAAGCAAAAACCAGGACCCGGCCGGAGGGAAACAGAGAAGGCATCTGGAATACTATTCAGGCTTCAGAGCTAGCAACACTCAGACCACAATCAGACTCCCTGTGTTTACAGCTTTATCTTCCTCCCAGAAAGTGGATTTATTGTTGAGGGAGATAGTGTTTCTATTTTCTCAGTTTTTTTTTTAATTCTATTTAATCTTTTGTGTTTTCAGTCAATCCATGACTACAGTTTGACTATTAATCTAGGACATAGCGGAAATGTCCAATTCACAAACATCGTGTGTTACAAACCTTTCGGAATCGGTTGTTTTGGGAAATCAGAATATTTTTCCCTCCAATAAACAATATCGTAAATGATGGCGAGGTTTCCAGACCAGCCCCACACAAGCCTTTTTAACTCATAACATTGCCGACACCCTGCACTTCTATGGTGAAAATCAGGAGAAAGCAATTTTGTTGCAGTGCCAATAAGCAAACTCAGATACGGAAGACATGGTCTCCTTGCTCCTCAATTCTACTTAATGAACAACTAGTTTAATGAAAGAAGATAAGGGGAAAGACGGAGGCTTTCTAAGGAGAGATCTCTACTCAGAAGAATTTTGGAGGTTGGTAGCAGGAATTTATTGTAATTTTGCCTGTCCAGGGTCACTTGGATACCTTTTTACATTTTCCCTCACAGAGGCACACAAAGGAGCCACGATGAAGGCAGATTTGGGGCTCATATAGGAAGACAGCAAAGAATGAGGGAGGAAAAGCACAAGGTTTGGAAGAGATGTCCTTGACGGTGCAAGTAAAGCATGTTGTTGCCAGAGGGAGATTGCCTAAATCAGTATTAACTGATTTGCTACGGAAATTGAGAAGAGGGAAGACCCAATACTAGTGCCCCAGGCCCTTGAGTCAGGGAGAGGTAAGAGTCCACTCTTCGGTCAGACAGTTTCCTCTCTGACCATAAGGTGGTGCCATCAGCCCAGACAGCCGGCCCCAAGGGGGCGGAGCTTGCAGTAGGAGGAGCTCCCCACGTGGAAGCCACGTTTTCCACACTGGCTCTGGAACTTACAAAAAGCCTGGACTAGACAGCAAGTCTCAACCTACAGGCCACTGCCTCCTCACCCAACAACTTCCCATCCTCCGAGGCACCACCTGCTCACACCTGAGCAAGAACACGTCTCTGGGGATGGTGGCAACCCACATCAAGATTCCAGCTGATTCCTTCCCATTCCTCTCATCCATATCCTCCTTCACAGTGTCAGCACTGGGGCCCGGACCTTCTCCCAACTTCGAAAGGGGATCTAGCCTCAGAGCATCCTAGAGTTTCATCCTTAAACACCGTCAGGATGAGGAAATGAGACCTTCTCTGGTGAGCACAGATTTGCTACAAAGGCCCCACCATGAGGCCCCAGATGCCCTTACCAGCTTTATCTTCCACTGGAATACCAAACGGGCCAACTCTTACTCCTGATACAAAACCCACCGTAACCCCTCCATTCATTTACCCCTGCTGGAACTTACCTCCCTCCTGTTCCTTATCTCTACTTGTCAGCATCCTCTCCCCTCTCAAAGTCTAACCCAAATTCTCTCCTCCCCCAAACCTTCTCACTGTTTGGATTTAACTGGTGAACTGGAGTTGGAGAGGAAAACATGAGTTCTATGCATCAGCCACAGAAGCCACGGGTATCACAAGGTGCCTCATCCTTTCCGCTGCCTGTAGGGTCTTAAAACAGAGAAGGAGGGCCCATCCAGCCAAGACTCCCTCTCTGCTGAGTTTCAGGGCAACACCAACTGGGCTATTCTTACTTCTCTCAGTTCTCAATCCCCATGTAGAGACACCAAAGCTACAAGAATGATGCAGGGCATGCTGTCTGTTCTCAATTCACACCTGCTTTATAATAATAATCACTGTTACTATTATTATTACTGCCCCTTCCTCATCCCCTGCTCTCACCAGTCACAGTCTGCCAAACCGGGCCTGAGCTGTAGAGCTAGAAGAATAAGGCGAGATCACAACACAGTCACCAGTCTGAGCTCCCCTCCCTACTCCCAGCCCAGGCCTGCGGCCTAGACTGGTAATGCCAGCAAACTGCCTACTGATTCTGCAGAATTTGCTCAGCCCTGATGGGACTGACTAGAAGGCGCATTCTTCTCTGGATGTTGGGCCCTGGCCAAGTGGCCTGGAGATAAAAAATCTTTAGGAACTAGTACCTGTAGAAGCCACACCTCCAATCTAGTGACTGCTTTTCTTTTGGTTCTAAAGGGGCACATGGCTCAAGAGGGAGCCACGAATGTCTCTGAGGCTGGAGCCAACATTTCCAAGAAGGTGAACTTTTAAATTATGCAGGCCCTGGGGGTGAGGGTGTAGCTCAGTGGTAGAGCATATGCTTAGCATGCATGAGGTCCTGGGTTCAATCCTCAGTACCTCCATTAATTAATTAATTAATTAATTAAAAACCATATTTAAATTATGCAGATCCTCTGAGGGAGCTCCAGGGCCTCATGGTGGCAAAAGGCTGAGCCCTAGCTCCGGGAAGCAGGAACCCAGAGTAGACTCAGTGTCTGCAGCCAGCAAAGGTAGGCTTGCTCCTGTCACCTGGACCTCTCCTATTTCTGTGGCTCAAAGAACCGAGAGATCAGATACCCTTTTTAATGCCGATTTTGCTCCTGTTCTCACCTACAAAAGAGGCTCTCCAAGAAAAGAAAGGCTACCCAGGAAATTCAGAGGCTTATGGAGTTCGTGGGAGGTTAGAATGCTACCGGGTTTTTGTTATGTTTTGTCTTTCAAGGATCTACAGGAGATGGTGTTTCATAAACTAATAAAGGAAGTTAATTATGCAAACAAAAGCAGGGTGGGAAACGCAAACCACCCATTTTAATATACTTGCACCCCACCTCCTTCCACTAAAGATCTGAGGGTACAAGAGGTAATTGTTACCAGACTCACGGGCGTGAGTGCTCGGCTTCTTACCACCGTTGCAGATTCGGACCTTCAAAGAGACCATTTCCTGGGGCTCTGAAATCAGGTGGGGAGGGTGGACAGTGGCTCCCAGGCGCTGTAACCCTGGGGAGAGCCCACTCGATGGCGCCTTCCCCAATCCCTCCTCTCATTCCTCCTACCTCAGAGCCGCTGGACGCGAGGGGCCGCCGCAGGCAGCAGCGCCCACCCTGGCCCCCAGCCTCGGCCTTCTAACGC